TTTACTTTTAACAAAGAAAAATATTATATTATTTTCAAATAAAGAAAAAAATAAATTTTAACTCATTTCATTTAATTAACAAATTTTATTTATTAAACTAATATAATTTTTTATGATAAGTTAATGTAAAATAAAAATATAATGATCCATATGTTATTTAGAAAAAATAAAGTTAAAACTAATTAACTAAGTACTAATTAAAAACTATGATAAAAATTAAAAAATTAAAAACTATGATAAAAATTAAAAAATTAGAAAGGAGAAATTTGTTAATAAAATTAAAAAATTTCAATTCATTAGCAATTTGATAGAAAGCTACCTAGAGTAACTTTTTTAATTTAGTTTGAGCTTTAACCATCATCTGCAAGCCCCAACCACTAAATAAAATACCACACTTAGTTTGTAATTATTTCAAAATAAATCAAACGGGTTCTTAATAGAATTTTGATTAAGTTATTTACTGGTAATTTCCCCTTAATAAAAGTAAAAGGTCCTAATTTCAATTGCATGACATATAAGTAAAGTGAGTTTAGATATGTAAAAAAAATTACCTTTTATTGTGCAATATAAGACAAAAAAAAAAAACCTTTAATTTGTATCTGATTAATTTAATATTTTTAAGGTTTATTAAAATTTACTGGGAACAACAAAGGTTTTATTTGTTTGTGTTGTGCTATACTATGACTATAGTGTAGGTTTTTTTAAAAAAACTTTTATTATCTTAAAAATATATAAAGTATTAATTAAAATTAATAAAAATATATTAAAAATTAGTTAAGATTAGTTAAGATTTAAGAATTAAAATTTTACATTTTTAAATAAGGCGCTATGTGAAAATAAAATGTGTAATATTGTCAAATAAAGCCTAAATTGCTAAATTTGAGAATAATTTTGTGACTTAATTAATTATTTAACTTTTCCTTTTATTTCAAAACTTTTTAACTTTATATTGACTAACAATAATTATGACCCATGCAAAGCAAAAACATTAAAGACTACTGTTCACATAAAATCTCATATATTAGTGATATCAATAATATAAAAGAATAATCAAAGTTAGAGCTAATTTTTAAGACCAAAATTTAAGATGGATTCATGGTAGTTATTGATTATAAAACACTGAATTGGTTTACTCTCTAATCTAATATATTGCACAAAATACTTATTAAAAAATTATTTTTTAATATTAAATTAAAAACAGACAAATTTAATAATACAATT